AGTGAGGTATGGTTGTCAGGAAAACTAACCAGAAATGTGATCTCCTCATTAGCAGCTTCCTCTCCTCACTCCCTCCTTTTCCCATCTTTAGCCTGTTTCCTTCACATTTTTGGTAGCTGATAGAGGTTTGTGTGCTACTTCAGAAGAGTCGCATAGTGGCTGATTACTCATCCTTCTAATGATTTAATATATACACTTGCCCCTCTCTCCTGCTACTATTTGGTCCCCATGTTTTTTTTTCTTTTGGACATAACTTCCTCTCATTTCCTCCTCCTTCAGCCGTAATCTTTCTCTCTTGGACTTCCTTGTGTTGTGACTTCTTTGCGTAGTCTAAGCTTTGTCTGGGCTTTTTCATCTCTAAAGACTTATCCACTGTCTTCAAATATCTACAGTAGGTACGGAAAGTATTCAGACCCCCTTAAATGTTTCACTTTTTGTTATATTGCAGCCATATGCTAAAATCATTTAAGTTCATTTTTTCCTCATTAATGTACACACAGCACCCCATATTGACAGAAAAACAGAATTTTTGACATTTTTGCATATTTATTAAAAAAGAAAAACTGAAATATCACATGGTCATAAGTATTCAGACCCTTTGCTCAGTATTTAGTAGAAGCACCCTTTTGAGCTAATACAGCCATGAGTCTTTTTGGGAATGATGCAACACGTTTTTCACACCTGCATTTGGGGATCCTCTGCCATTCCTCCTTGCAGATCCTCTCCAGTTCTGTCAGGTTGGATGGTAAACGTTGGTGGACAGCCATTTTCAGGTCTCTCCAGAGATGCTCAATTGGGTTTAAGTCAAGGCTCTGGCTGGTCCATTCAAGAACAGTCACGGAGTTGTTGTGAAGCCACTCCTTTGTTATTTTAGCTGTGTGCTTAGGGTCATTGTCTTGTTGGAAGGTGAACCTTCGGCCCAGTCTGAGGTCCTGAGCACTCTGGAGAAGGTTTTCTACAGAAGAACCCAAAGATGACTGTGGCTGAGCTCCAGAGATGCAGTCGGGAGATGGGAGAAAGTTGTAGAAAGTCAACCATCACTGCAGCCCTCCACCAGTCGGGGCTTTATGGCAGAGTGGCCCGACGGAAGCCTCTCCTCCGTGCAAGACACATGAAAGCCTGCATGGAGTTTGCTAAAAAACACCTGAAGGACTCCAAGCTGGTGAGAAATAAGATTCTCTGGTCTGATGAGACCAAGATAGAACTTTTTGGCCTTAATTCTAAGCGGTATGTGTGGAGAAAACCAGGCACTGCTCATCACCTGTCCAATACAGTCCCAACAGTGAAGCATGGTGGTGGCAGCATCATGCTATGGGAGTGTTTCACAACAACTCCGTGACTGTTCTTGAATGGCCCCGCCAGAGCCCTGACTTAAACCCAATTTAGCATCTCTGGAGAGACCTGAAAATGGCTGTCCACCCACGTTTACCATCCAACCTGACAGAACTGGCGAGGATCTGCAAGGAGGAATGGCAGAGGATCCCCAAATGCAGGTGTGAAAAACTTGTTGCATCATTCCCAAAAAGACTCATGGCTGTATTAGCTCAACAGGGTGCTTCTACTAAATACTGAGCAAAGGGTCTGAATACTTATGACCATGTGATATTTCAGTTTTTCTTTTTTAATAAATCTGCAAAAATGTCAAAAATTCTGTGTTTTTCTGTCAATATGGGGTGCTGTGTGTACATTAATGAGGAAAAAAATGAACTTAAATGATTTTAGCATATGGCTGCAATATAACAAAGAGCGAAAAATTTATGGGGGTCTGAATACTTTCCGTACCCACTGTATATAATTCAAGAGGCAAAATCAGTTGAGATGTCTTTCTTTGTACTTTTTGGAGAGAGAATCTGGGTTGCTTGAGGTTCAGTTCTGTGTAACATCATCATTCGCTGTTTTGGTATTCTAGGCTTAGGGTTAGGTTAATACCTTTTAAACTGAGGTTCACATTTACACAGGTACTATTTCAAATTTTAGTCCAGATCACTCCAAACATAAGAAATATGCTCGATTACAGAACTTTATGATTATATAGACATTAGACTGTAATGGTTCAGTCAGAAAAGTCACAGGGTTTTGCATATTTAAAAAAAAGATTAATATTGCTTTATAACATGATTAATTTGACCTATAAAATGTCAAGAAATTGTAAAAAATGCCCACCATAGTTTCCCAGAACCAAAGGTAAATATTTTAAAACCACTTGTTTTGTCTGAACAAACTGACACACGGAGATTGATAATTTACTACTAATTTAGAAACACAGCAAATATTCACATTTAATTAGCTGAAACCAGGGAACTTGTGGCATTCTTTCTTGAAAAATGATCTAAACAGTTACCAAAAATGTTGACAACTTTCTATCCAACTAACTGAATGATGTAGAGTTGAAATTATTAGTCAGTTATTGGAACAAGCATATAAGTAAAATGACATTTTGTGTAAAAAGATTTTTAAAACTATACTCACTCAAAGAAATTGAACACTGAAGGAAAACACTGAAAGGTAAATTTAATCTTGGTCAAATAAACAAACTAATATACAGTGGAAAGCAGTCTCATATTTGAACATCTTCATCAAATAACTTCAGATTAAACTTTTCAGTTTAGCCAAACACAGTTTGTCCAATCACTCACAGATTCCAGACTTTGAGATTTTCCTGCAGGCTGGGATGCTTCACAAACATGGACCCTAGCTGGAGTAGGATCACAGCAGCAGATCTCTCTCTGCTAACCCCCGAGGCCTGAGGGCAGAACATGTGGGAAAGCAAGATTGACAGGAAGTTGTTGTGTAGAAGCAGAGGTGTGTGTGTGTGTGTGTGTGTGTGTGTGTGCTTTCTTTCGTGCATATGTGTGTTTGCCCAGTGGGCAGAACACAGGGCCAGGACAGGAAACAAAGTGGTTGTGCCATTGGTTAGAGGAAACAGAATGGCAAATAAATTACCCAGAGTTGGGCTGGCAGAACTTCTGAGAGCCACAGCGGAGTGGAAGTTGAGGGAGGACAGAGTGTTGACATGGAGGATGGTCTGACTAACCCAACAGGAAAATAAACAGTGCATCTAATGTTTTCTTTTATTCACCCAGCATGTCAAACTCTGAAGTCTATATTTCTCACTCAGTAAAAATCAGAAGGAAAGAACATAAACCTGAATGTAAGATGTACTGTTGTGTCTATACTCTGTTTTGATGACAAATTGAAGGGAAAACAACGTTACGGTGTTGGGCAACCAGGAGCCTTTAAAACAGTACCCGTTACATAAATGTTTTTGTAACTCTGTGAAACACCATTTTTCCAAAAGATATTCATTGTGATGATGGTGCTATACAGTCTAACACAGGAGTCCAGCATTACTATCAGTTTGGTTAAGATCTGTTAGTAAGGACTCTGGTTGTTTCAGTATTGATTAAACCATTTATCCATTAAGTTATTAAGCTTTTCCTTTGATACGTCACACATCTATAGATTTTGTGAGCATGGACAAACTTAGATATGAGATTTAATTTTGGCAAAGGCTGTCATCTAGTGGCCATTTGGTGCTTGCCAAGTCTTATCCTGAAAACTTACCACAAGTTTAAGTAAATATGATTTTTTAATAGACAGTTTGTGGCCCACATTTAAATAATAAGGAACAGCTTCTGCAGTTGCTGCCAAAGGTTTAATGAAATTGAGGCATATGCCATATTCTATATGACCCTGATCTTCAGCTACGGTCTAGTATTCTTCCATTGGATGATGTTGGTTGATAAATTAACAATAATCAGATTTTGCGAGCTGTTGTGATTTGGAAGAAGTGTAAAGTGTGTCTAATTTTCTTTTTGTCAAAGCCTGTAAATACTCTGGCAAAAAAGTGTTGTGGTTGCTTAGTTGTGATGTGTTTAAGTTCGACCTTGGGTTGAAGGCAGTTTTGCTGTGTTGTTTAAAAATGTACATGTCTTCTGAATCTGGCCTATATTAATCTGGGGTCGGTTGTATCACTTGCCATTTTATGCTAAAACACTAACTAGGTTTCAAATTAAAGCTGCATTGTCACTTTTTTCAAATACTTTTGTTGTAGAAATATGCTCCAAAATGAAGTGAATTTAACAGGGTTTCTTCCTAATTGGTCATTAATTTGTCATGAACTTGTCTTAATGTGAAGAGGTGCTGTTGAAGCCTCCTGTGACCCAGACTCATTGAACAGCACAGAGATATTGGCTTCTAGAAGGTTTTGAGTGGGATTGGTCTCTAATCAGATTGTCAATTATTTCTGCTTCTGTTTTGTATTATTCTCATTTCTTGTAATTTCATGATAAATATCTGAAGCACATCAGAGCATGGTAGATCGTAGTAGAGCACAGTGGAGCAGGGTGAGGGAGTGCTTGGTGTGAAGTAGAGTGGATTGATTTGGAGCTTCATGCTAGTGCTACCTTAAGTAACCTTACCTATCTTACAATAATCACTTAATCTTAAAACTTGTTTTAATGTCTCATAGATGGAAAACAGACATTGATGTATTAGCTCAAAAATTTATTAATGTTGACAAAAAAGCAGTTGGCAAATCAAGTTTTATGTCGCTACAAAACTGTTAGTACAGAAACAACCAACAGAAATGTTGTTTCCTTTCCATTTCTTAGTACAAAACATTTCAGTCAAGGCCTACAGAGAAAGAAAGAGTTTGATATCCTAGAACCTAATCAAAAAAGACAAGCAAAGGCTCTACCCAGGGTCTAACACGTGTCAGTCAGGTTTAACTCAGGTTCAACACAAAAACATCCTGAGTGAGAAAACCAGGGTGGGAGCTTCAGTCAGTCTGATCCAAATTAATTTAATCTGACTCCAGTTAATCAGAATTAGTGTTATACTTTGAATGATCTCAAAGACTTTAGTTGAAAAGTTCATTCCTAAGGGGCATATGGCTTTAAGTACAGTACTAAGGCAAAGGAGTGTGATGTGATAACAGTTCAGTCTCTATAGAAACATTTAAAGAAATGCATTGAAACAAATTCTCAGACTTTGTACATTGTATCTGTATAGTACCCACAAAGGAACAGTGAAAAAGACTGCAAACTAAAAGACAAATAAATAGAATGTTGTGAGGAAGACTGGTGAAATTAACATATGTAACATGTGAAAATTGTTTGACAGTAATTATCTAAGTACTGCAGAGCTGGAAAATACTGATTAATAAGTGCAGACATAGGTCACTAGATAGAACAAGTGTTTTATATAAAACTCAACATTGTGCTTTCAGCCGACATATTGTTCATGTTTTTCAAGTAAGAAAAAACCAAAAGCCTTTACTAAGACAAGACAAAAATATTGATCTCATACTGCTCATATGTAAAATATGAATAACAGAAATAACCTAAATCAGGTGTCTAGACCAAATAGTGCGCCATTATACTGGAGGAAAATGCTTTTCAGTCAGACACAAAACAAGGCCCTCAAAAATACAGTCACTTAGAAAACATGACATAGTAAATACAATTCATTATATTTTATATAAATTTGTGCCAATAGGAAAATAGCAGTTTAAACAATATCATGATTTTATCTTTTTAGAAGTGCAGCCAAAAAAGTATTTGATTTTAGGACTGCTGTTGAGTCATATGTCATCAGGGCACAAATAATTTATATCAGGAAAACAAATAACACCATCATCAAATAGATACCGTTGACAACAGTGTCAACTGAGTGTTGTATTTTTTCTCTAAGCCCATGTAACAGAAAAACCACATCATTGGACTAATCAGTGCGCACAAATGTGTTTTAGTACACACGTTTGCATTATCACACTTACTGTGCATTTTCAGTGTAGTGTTAACATGTACATATGATTTTGGCTGGAACGCAGATAAGCACCTTGCCTCCAGTTGGCTGATGTACAGTAACTGTACGCTGGGCTGTGGGTTTCCCAAAAACATCCTCTGTTAAAGGATCAAAACGACATTAGTAAAAGTAATGAACCAGTGATTGTATAACTATTCTTAAGGTTTGTCCAGAGGCGCCATGTGTTGGCCTTGCTTCAACTCAGCACTAGCAATGGATGAAGTTGGCCAATAAGACATATTGGTGACGTGTAGCTGACAGCAGCTGTTCACTTCAGTTTCATTCGCAACAGGCTTTTGGGAAACTGGGCCCAGTGTGTCTCAGCAGGCCTCCTTGGCTTGGCTTGGCAACTTGCACATCATTAGGATCTGCTTCAAGGCTTTCTGGACATCTTCATCCATCTGACCCTGAAGGCACACAGCACAGGTTACGTCAGCTAAAATAAACAAAAATCCACTGATTTCAAGACCAAAAATATCTGCATGGTTGGATATCACAACTACAAGTGAAAAAAAGTTTCCCCCCCCTAATTTGACTGAACCAGTCCTTTTAAAATCTAAAATGTTCTAGATTTAGACATACTAATAGATTTACCTGGACAGCATAGAGGAGGTGCATCCTGTACACTGACACTATCTCCTGGTGCTGCTTCTTTGACTCCTACAAAAAAAATTAAGAAAATTTAAAATGGAGCACTCAGGGATCATGTCTCAAAACAAGAATGACTGTGTATTCCAGCTGCAAAATCCATTGGACTACTCTTACAGCTAGCTGGTACTGCAGCTGTTTGATTTGTTGCTGCAGCGTCTCCAGCTGTTGGTTTTGCTGCTGCCTCTTAGAGGGTGACCCAGAGCTGTAGGAGAGTTGCGACAGACTGTTTAAGGCATCCTTTAGCTTCGCCACCTCCCGTGACAGGTCATCTATCTGTAAGGGGAAAAACATAAAATATCTGGCTCCTTAAAAATAGGTTTACTGTAATAGGGATGACAACAGGGCCGTGATGAAACAAAATGACCGTCTCAAGTCCAGGTTAACACGTGTACATTATCTATGCAACTAAATAGGAAAGTATGGTTTTTGTTATTTGAATATACAATAGATAAACTACAACAACTGATAAACCATGTACAGTATGTGCACTGAGAAGCACTGCAGAAATGATGACTGTACTACTGCAGTAGCAAGCAGATGATTACTGACCTTCTTGTTCTTTTCTCTTTCTGAGGCAACATGGTCCTCCACCAGCTGTTTGAGCTGACACACAGCATCCTGGGACTCAGCCAACCTGGTCGTCAGCATCTGGTTCTCCTTCTCTCTTGACATGACCAGGTCCTGTAGGGCTTCCCGCTCTGCACGATTCTCTCGTGCCTGATGGATGGATAAAAGGGAGTTTGGGTAAATTTTAGGGATTATGATTCAATATATTAAGGAAGTTAATCTTATCCTCCTCATGTGGACATCTGATTTTGTTTTCTCACCTAGACGACTCTTACCTTCTGCCATGCATCAGCAGCCTCCAGGGCCATCTCGTCCTGCTTTCTGAGGGCCCCCTGGAGGAGCTGTGTCAGGTGGTTCGCCTCACCCTCCAGTTGCTCTTGCATGGTTTCATACTCCAGGTGGGAGACTGAGTCATCTGCATTGACCTCTTTCTCTGCTGTCAGTCTTTAGGTGAAAGGCACAAGAACCACATGGTGACACACACACACACACACACACACACACACACCAACAGCTAGTTTTACACTACCGTTTTAGCAATCAAAGCTGGGAAAGAAGTTTGATCAATTGTCAGTTCATCAGAACTGTGGGGTCAATGCTCAGCCTACCTCTACAGAACTGTGAATAAGATGCTAATGCACTTTTACCATTTACCCTGTAGTACAGAAGCACATTGCATTCACCAAAGGAAAAAAAAAAAAAAAGGAACTTGTATCATATTTATGACTTACTGTCTCTTAATTACAACAGTCCCCCTAGTTTTCATTCCCCCGGGGTCACTGTAGCTGATAATAGTAATAGCACACACTGTAATACCATGAAACTGATATTTTCTGAGACTTGCCATATCATGAAAATCTCATACCACTGCAACCCTAGTATGCAGCAACTTTGAGGCCTGTTGTCACTACATCCAATAGTGTATAGCAAAAGGGAACTGTTAATAGCTAATTTTGCATACTTAGTGTTCCAAAACAAACAAATATGCGCTACAAACTATCAGTGAATTACTTTGACACTATAAAACTCATTGAAAACTGTTTCAGGCAAGTTCTGCAACATTCCAACTCCTGCATTATCTCATAATTGAGACAACTTTCAAAATTTTTTTTTTAACTGTTTGATGAATGCAATGTGCTTCCATAGTATAGTGTCTCCACACATATGTTTTATATTTTTTTTAATGAGGGAAAAAAACACAAGCAGATCAATGAACACAAGAAGCTCGTGTAGCAGTGTTTCATGACACCAGTGTTATTTTTGTCCACCAGTTTTGTCTATAAATTATATCAAAACAGTTGTGGTTCAGTGGTAGCACGAACCACATCCTACGGTTGAACTGACATCTCTCTGAAGCAGTCTGACCAAAAACTGAACACTATCATGCTGCTGGATTAGACTGTTTTAGTAACATGTACCTACTGTAATAAACTGCCAACTAATCATACACCGTCTGGCCACTTTATTAGGTACATCTGTATTCATTGCAACACTTCCACAAATTCAATGATGTTTGACTACATTATATTCTTTGTTTTTGATGAAATTGTCAAATGTATAAATTCAATGATGTGCTTATTACTGAAGTCATTGTTAAAGGTGGTGTTGTACTGGACTACATTATATTCAGAGGTGTTGCTAATATTGTGACCCTCATGTACTGTATGTAGCTGGAGAGGACAAATATAGACACCTAAATATAATGTAGTCCAGTACACTACTACCTTTAACAATGACTTCAGTAATAAACATATAATTGAATTTTATAAATCCAACCTCCATCCCAGCATCCATCTATAGGCTCTATTAAAAACCACATGTTAAATAATATTCAGGTTTTTGTTGTCAATTTTCTTTTCTCACCTGGTCTGAAGAGCCTCCACCTGCAAGGTCTTCTGGTGTAGCTGCTCTTTTAGGGCCTCTAACTGACTTTCCAGCTCTTTAATGGCGTTTCCCAGAGAAGACATCACCTGTGTGTGGTCAGAAAGGTCCACAGAGCTTTGTGCCCGAGCTTCTGCCTCCTGCCTCAGTGCTGAAATCTCCTCCTGAGCAGCTGAGTACTTCTTCTCTATGTCTGCTAGCAACATCTGCAGCTCCTCCACCCTGCTGTTTAGCACCTGGACTTCCTGTTGGTGTTCTGAAGAGGGAGATGATACTGCTCTGCTCTCAGCTTGGACCTCAGCCAGCTGTTTCTGAGCAGCACTTAGCTGGCTCTTGGTTTCACTGTAGGAGTGTGAGAGTTCCACCAACTGGTGCTGCAGCCCAGCAATGACCTTGTTCAGCTCAGCCTTCATTTCTTCAAAGTCTTTGGCTGCAGCTTCAACAGGCACTGTGCCTCTCAGAGCCTCCTGAACAAAGGTAAGAAAATAATTGTTATATTACTATAATTGTCAAAGATCAAACATTGAACTAAAGAGGTGATGCAAGACTGATTGTACAGAGGAAAAAAAACACGTTAAAGCTATTATTTTTGTGCCTTTTTTATTTTTGCTTAGAGAAATTCAAAGAGAAGAAAAAGAGACTCATGTCTACCTGGAGCACTCTAATCTCCTCCTGTGCCTCCTTGTACAGCTCCTCAGTCTGTGTAGTCCTCTGTTCTTTCTCCTTTGCACTCTGCCTCTCCTCCACTGTCCTCCTCAGAGCCTCCTCCAGCTGCCTGATTTGTTCATCCGCTTTCTCTTGCTCAGATCTTGATTGGAGGAGCTGGGTCATCAGCTGTTTTACTTCATGTTCAAGTGTGGATGATGTACATCTCAGAACTTCTTTCTCCATCTGCTCATCTCCTGCTCTTCCTATTTGTGCTCTCAGCTCCTCCACCTCCTCCACCGCTTGGTGGTATCTCTCTTGCGTGTCTGTCAGCTTGGCCTGCAGCTCTGCAAGACTTTCCATCAACTCTTCCTCTCTTCTCTTGTCCTTCACACCTTCATGCTCCTCTCTTTCTCTGTCTTGCTCCGGTTTCAGCTGAGCCTGAAGGGAACGGTTTTCCTTCCTTGTTTCCAACAATTTCATCTGAACGCTCTCTAGTGCCTGTCTCAACAGTCTGATCTCCTCTTTGCTCCCTCCCTCTGTGTCCTGCCTGACAGAAACACCTCCTGACCTGTCTTCCCTTTCCATCTGTGTGGTGGAGGAGACTGATGGCAGAGAGTCAAATTCATCCTGGGTAGAGTGGAAGGAGGAGATGGAGACCATACTGTTTGGATGACTGGCCTCCTTCAGGTCCTCGTTTCCTTGGAGGGATGGACGTTTCTGTAGGGTGAAAAGCGGGGTTAAGAGATTCAAAACAAAAATCTCAATAACAAAGCACAGACCAACATCTGTCATTACATTGTGGGGACAATATTTAAATAACTTGTAGGCTTCAAATTTGAAGCAACACATCATATGGTTTACTACAAATAAAACATACATGTATGTAAAACACATGGCAAAACAGGATAATCTGAAAAATACAACAGCAGGATTGGAATTATTTATAATGGGTTGTGTGTTTGTAAAAATACAGGAATTGTATCCATCCAATGTGTTTTACTAAAATAAATATAATCATGGCATATGCAAGCTTCCGTATTTTTAGCGCTGCAACAATTAACTGATAGAAAATAATCTGCCACTATTGAGGGTTAATTAATTGTATCCCCCCATGTCTCACACAATGCCAGCCTCTCCCACAACCCTCAACGATAAGTGGGTATATCTAATAGATGCATGGATCGAATAACTACATTAGCTGTACAATGTCTAGATTTCAAGTCTTTTGTGAATTTTGAAAAAAACCTCTTTGCTGTAGTTTGTTTGCCTCAGATAATACAGTTAGGTTATATACACATACAGTAGCTCCTTACTTTGAGCATGTCCCTTCATTTCTTCGTGGTTGAACTAGAACATGAATGGGTTTCATACCTTTATTCTGCTTGCAAGTTGCTGGTTCTCCAAAGTAAGAGCAGTAATCTTCGCTTGCAGTGCAGAAACCAGATCTGCAGATCTGTGCTCAACCTGTCAACACATACAGAGGCACACAGAGAGGCATAAAAGAAATGTTGAGGACCACTAGCTATCTACTGAAAAACAAAACGAGTCATGACATGTCTAAAGCTTAGGTTAAACCTCCTTCAAGAATGCCAAAGTGGAAAAGTTCAGCAGTACATGAATGTCTGTTGTCAGAGTATAGTATTAATCTTAGAAAAAGCAGCACTGATTTACTGAAGATTTTAACAACCAGAAATAGCTAATAATAAATAAATAAATGGTTAAAATAGTCATCTTGTAACATGTCTAACTTAACTGTATCAACTTGTTTTTAAATTCTTTTCATTTAGTCTGACTGGGTACATTGTCCGTTTATGTTTATACACCAGTAAATATATTCAGTGCATGTTGCTGTACCCTGCACTGAGTTTTAATGCTCTGCTTTTCAAACTAAAAGTCTGATGTCATTTACTTGGGCCAGGTTTTCTGCTCTAGCCCCCACATCCGTTTTCAGATCAGCTCACATGTAATGAAAACACGCCACTTGTATCCAGCTCAGGACCAGTCATTGTCTGCTCCACGGTCTGCTTCAGGTCTTCAATCGTCTCTAGCAACATGTTTCTCTCCTCATGGAGCTTCTCCACCTCCTCTCTCAGCACTGTTCCTCTAACCTCATCCTCCTTTAAAATGAGAAAAGGGAGGAGTGAGGTGGTGGGAAAGCGCAAGAGGAGGGGAGAAGAACAAAAGATGGAGAAGGAAGAGTTACTGTGTGTGTGTGTGTGTGTGTGTGTGTGTAAAATGGACAACATAGGGAAAGGTATGGAGGCTGAAATGAAGGATTTAGCTAACTCTACAAGAGCTTTTATGATTAAATGAATTGTACAGAAAAAAGTTCTGGGGATCATTTCTTTAAATGACTTATATTCATATTCTCATGTTTAGCTGTAACCTACTAATAAATGGACTGTGCTCAATTGTGTATCTACACCTTTTCATGTACTGTGTATGTTGAAGTCACCACATAATATGCTCCATTTATTTCTATGGATTCTGTGAGTGTCATTCTTAACTGTATTACTACTGATATGGGGTTGAAGGTGTTCACTGAACGTTTGGGCAACATTGAGTTACTATATTAACTATACGTTTAATCAACTTGTTTGTCAGCTGGGATCGGCTACAGCCGCCCCTGTAACCCTATTCAGGAAAAGTGGTATAAATAATGGATGGGTGGAATTTTGTAAAGCTGGATGTTTTAAGAACAATAGATTTGCTGTATATCTGTCATTCTTAAAGGCTCCTGCGTTTTATCTTCACATCTGCTTTTACAGTACCTTGTAGCTGAAAATCTTGGGAGTGTCACTTATGTCTGATGCAGGGGTCCCAGTGGAGGTAATGACTGGAGAGGAGGGTCCAGAACTCTGAAGAAGGATGAAGTTAATAAATTTTAGTCAATTTGGATTAGTTTTCCTCATAAACCCTTGACATGTTCTGGTTAAGAAAAGAAAATACATATTTGTTAATGCAGTTGCTTTAAGAATTGTTTGGTAACTGAATGCATTATGTTCTGATACATAATCGCAGTCTAATAAACAGGATAAAAATTCTAAATGTTAGTATTCAGCAAACATGAAGTGACAAAATGAGGCATTGCTACATTTTAAATTAATATACATTGATTAAACATTGTATTATAACTTGACAAAGTAATTTTTGGTGAGAAAAGACGCATATAAAATGTCATAAGTGGGACTACTTATTTTAAGCATACACTGCCGGCATGCATTAATATACAGTAAAGAGTTTCAGACTGACATAAGCAGACAGATAATCAGAGAGACATGCATTTACCTGCAGTGGGCTAATAGGAGGTGGAGGTGCTTTTCGTTTTTTGGGAGTTGTGATCCGTTCATCACTTAGCTTAGCTATTTGATCATGCTGAAGAGGTAGCAAGAGACAGGAGAGAGGCAATGAAGAGAGATCGGAAAGGTGCGATTCAGTGCTGTTAGTAAAATAAGTGTCAATCATTGAGTGCTATAGCAAGACTCAAGATTGTTGTTTTTACAAGCTAAAAAATTTGATGCTGATGCTAAACTGCTGTTCATGAGGTGAAGCCACACAACAGAATCACACTAAAACTGATACTAATAACTGTTTAGTTGTGATGAGCTCAGCTGTTCTAGTAACTTGTATTGCTTGCTTATGATGATCTCAAAAGAAAAGCAGTGAAAATGTCTCACCTGAGGACTTCTAGGAGACTTTGTATCTGTCAGAGGAGAAGCAAAGAAAGTCAAACATAGACAGCATAAAAAAGCACCCTTCTCTTTTAAAGAAATTTACATTTTTCTACTAGAATTAACAATAAACAAGTCAGTAATGGGAAAACTCCTCTAGATGGCAGTGTTGACTGTGTGTTGAAATCAGAAACCAGACTCTACCACAGAGGAGATACATTCATGTAAATATTTGTATTATGATGTGGAGGCAAAGATCTGTTTTGGGGACTCAAACCCTGTGTGTGTGCTCACAAGATCAAGCATTACATGTTTAAACTTCTCAGTTTAAAATAGGGTTTGGGCACGTCATAATGTTGTCATATGTGTCTTTGCACAACACTCACCTGAAACCTGATGTCTGTTCAGGGCAGCTGTGAGGGCAGTTTTCACCTCTGATTTGCCTGACAGCGTGGCATAGTGTACAACATCATGGCCTTGTGAATCTACAGCTGCCAGATCTGCTCCTCGCTGAACCAAGACTTCAACTACGGACACTGCATTGGACTCAGCTGCCAGCATCAAGGCTGTCCTACAGCACAAAAGTACAAATACTGAAATACCAATGAACAAAACAACACCCACCCAACATCCAAGAACAGTCTCTTTACTACTCATCAGTACTTTTACATAAAGTACGTAATTTCTGAAATTTGTCTATTTTGAGTATGTTCATACCTGCCACTATTGTCACAAGCATTGATTTCAGCACCATAGTCCAGCAAAGTACTGCATACTTCAACGTGAGCATGTTTGGCTGACAACAGCAAGGGGGTGAGTCCATCCTTTGGGGCAAACAAACAGACATGATAAACAGATATGATTGACCATCCTATGAAGGGGTAACACAGGATGTGGGCCTAGACATGGTAAGTGTCTATGCAGTGAGAGAGGTCATAGATCTATGTGAAAAAGGAGTGAAAGTCTCTCTCTGTAAATGAGTTTGCCAGCAGATGAACAGAAAAACCAAAGTTGCTCCACTTTCCAGGATGGCATATGCTTTGGGATGAGAGGACTAGGAACATGGGGAAACCCCCCACAGTGATACAGGTTATATACAGTTCTAAATAAATACAGTGAGGAACAGAAGTATTTGAACACCCTGTGATTTTGCAAGTTCTCCCACTTAGAAATCATGGAGGGGTCTGACATTCACAGTGAAGGTGCATTCCCACTCTGAGACAGAATTTAAAAAAAAATTTTCAGGAAATCACATTGTATGATTTTTAAAGAATTTATTTGTCTTGCACTGCTGAACATAAGTATTTGAACACCTGAGAAA